TGCTGGCCCGGAGCAGGGTGGGCTGGGGCTCCCCGCTGTCCGCAAAATATTCGCTCCCACCCTGAGGGTGTGTCGAGAAACCGCCGGAACGCGGCACCCACCCTCGGCGCGCCCAGCAGGGTCCGGCTCTCGCCGGGAGTCCCCTCGCTCCACCCTCCACGCCCCCACCCAGCCCCAGGCTCCCGCCGCCTCCTTGCAGCCGGGAGAAGCGGGCTTCTCCGCCCGAGCGTGGAGGGCGGGAGTAGGATCAGGGCGGAGGCCGAAAACCCCGAGGTTCATCCAAAGCCAAGGCCGCTCTGCCGCTCCGCGCTTCCTGGTTGATTTCCTTCAGACGAACTTTTCCTGGTGGGGCTGTCCGGCGGGTTGAAGGCCCCAGGGCTGTAGGGATGCCCACCTCTGTCCCTGGCGGCCCCTCTTCCTGCAGCCGGCAAATCCCAGGGACACCGGAGGTGGGGCGGGTGGGGTTGTTAGATTGGCAGCGGCACTGACCATTTCTTAGCCGAAACTCCACACTCAGCCCTGGAGGAGGAAAGATTTTTCTTGCTGGGCTGTTAGGAAATATGGTGCTATTTCTCCAGGCCTCTGTTATCCTGTCTGAAAAATGGGAGGGCTGGTCCCCGCGGTCCCCTGGGGCCGCAATATCCTGGGATCCAGCTGCCCTGGCTTCTCCTTTTCCACTTGCATACTGTCAGCTTAATCAGCCCTCCCCTGTGTGGAGTGGAGGGCCGAGGCCCAAAACCCTACACCCGTATCTGGCTGTCAACACCGGCAGGATCCACGGCTCAAGCCCCTTCTCCACAGGGCCCTGCCCCCAGAACCACCCCCCGCCCCCCCAGCAGCTTCTCCTACCCTGCACTTAGCTGCGTTCCCTCCCCCAAGATCTTACGATAACCCCACATCCTCTGCTGGAGAGAGGGTCTGCTGCTCTGAGGGTGTAGGGGTGTGTGTGTGTGGGGGGGGTGCGATCATATTCCACAAAGCCCAGGACTGTTCTTTACTTTCCCTCTGAACAAAATGTGAGCTCTACACCAAAAATAATTTAGTGAACAAAGTGCCAGGCGCAGTGTGAGGGAGACACCTGTGGACAAAATATTCTTGCCCTTGTGGAGCTGACACTTAAAGGGGAAGGGGCAAATAACTAATAAAATCAATAATCAAATCGTGTAGTGTATTAGGAGGTAAAGGAGAATAGTTGAGCGTCAAGGTCAGGGTGGGATTGCCATTTTAAGTAGGGTGGTCAGGGCGGCCTCCCTGAGGTGGTGACTTTTGAACTAAGGCTCTGAGGGGGTTAAGGGGGGGCGGGGATAGCTTCAGGAAGTAAAGATCCTGCAGAGAACAGCTTATACAAAGGCCCTGAGGCTAGAACGTGCCTGCTGTATTTGAGGAAGAGTAAGGAGCCAGTGCAGGGAGAGTGGAGTAAGGCCCTGTAGAGGAAATAGCGTGGCTGGCTATCTCTCCATTTCACAGATGAGGGCAGCTATGTCCAGAGACAGCGCGTAAGTCACCCTGAACGTGCAGGAGAGGCGGCTGCAAGGTGGGGGTGCCTGATGTTCTGACTTCTGGCCCACAATCCTTTCCCTTCACCCTGCATCTCAACTGTTCATTCACAGCACTGACTACGACCCGCCCAGGGCCAGGACTGGCCAAGTGCCGGGGACATGGCGGGGAACCACCCAGGCTTGGTACCCCAAGGAGCTTCATCTCTGCAACCTGTTGCCAGCCCCCTCCCCAGGTGCTGCCTGCCCACCTGCTGTCAATGTTCTCAGGCCAGCATCTTGACCCAGAGTGACCCTTGTTCTCTCTCTTCCCATTTCCTTCCTATGGCCACCCCCCTGTAAGTACCCCACTCTGAGTGTAGCCTGGAAGGGGACACGTTCTGAAGCTGGTGTGGTCAAGGGTGGAGACTGAGACAAAGAATTGAGTCTCCTCCCGGTCTGAGACTAACAACGGCAACATTATTATTGAGCATTCACTACGAAACAGGTGCTTTTCTAAGTGTTATTTGTGCATCTCCTCACTGGTGGAGGTAGCTGTCATTATGACACTCATCTGAAAGATGAAGAAACAGGCCAGGAAATGTGGTGTCACTAGCCCAAGGCCATGCAGCTAGTAAGTGGTAGAGCCGGGATTTAAGCACAGGTGTTTGGAGTTGTGACCTCATTCTTTAATCACTAGTCTGAGGCTAACAGAGCCCCAAACCCTGGGGGAGATGGTCAGTCCTGGAATGTGGTTCTGGCCCATCAGCGTCCTGGGAAAAGAACAGGGACCCTTCTGCCACCTCCCGCAACCTACCCAGGAGGCAGAGCCCCACTTGCTTCTGAAAAAGTTGCTTCAACATGGTGGTACATCCCTTCAAGGAAACTCTCTTCCTCCCCTCCCCTCCCCTCCCCTCCCCTCCCCTTCTTTCTGTTTCTTTTATTTTTCCTCCCCTCCCCTCCCCTCCCCTCCCCTCCTCTCCTGTCCTCTCCCTCTGAGTTCCTGAGCAGCTACAGGGGTGGGGGAAGGTGGGAGTGGTGGGAAGGGACAGGGATGTGTTCACTGCCTTCTCACCAGAGCTCCAGTCCCATGGGACCCAAAAGCAAGTCCGTCCTGATGACTGTGGCCTCATGGGATCTGGAGGCACTAGCTGCCGTTGACGGTCCTGACATGGTCATTGGGCCAAGGGGGAGGCTGGCCACTCCTGGCCTGAAAAGGACAGGAATTCTCTGTGTGCTCTGCCCTTTCTGAGTGACAGGAGGGACAGGGAAAATCCTCTCAGACTCCTGAATGGGGACAGTGGCTGGATGCCAGCAGCAGCTTCAGACCCCTGGCCGGAGGCCCCCAGGGGTGTCCCCTCCTGGCTTTCCACCCTGCCCTCCCCGCTTTCCAGCACAGCAGGCAATGTTTATGTTTTGTCCCTTACACGTTGGAGATATTTGTTTGTGATGAAACTTTAGGCTTTTCTCTGTCTTTCTGGAAATTACGCACCTTCAGAAGACAGAGAACAAAGAACATGTGTGTCCGTGGAGACAAAGGGAGAGCCGGTGGGACTTGGGGGCCGGCGGCAGGAGCTAGGGCCTTTCAGGCAGCTGGAGTGTGGCTAGTGGATGGCAGGGGTTGGAAGCCGAATCATGAATGTCACAGCCGGGGCCACACTCCCATTTTTTTAGATGAGGAAACTGAGCCCCAAAGTCCAGCCCTGGCTTACCCATGATGGCACAATCTGCTGGTGACTTCAACTGGCCCGTCTCAGCCCAGTGACTCAAGGCTCCCCTGCCAGCCTTCCAGCTTCAGTGCAAACCCTCGGCTGCCAGCTCCCATGTTCCTGGAGGTTCATGGACATGGGGTGTGAAATCCCCTTCTTGACTTCAGGGCTTGCACCGTGCTCCCTCCCCTCCCTGCCACTTCTACTGTGTCATCCGAGCCCTTTGCAGTAGCGTCGACACTGAGCTCTCAGCGATGGTGGGACATGACAGAGATGGATGATGCAGCCCCGTCTGCCACTGGCTCACCTGCTACTTGAGAGAAGGCTGACTAAGACTGGCCCGGCCTTTAGAATAATTACGCTCTCCAGGGACACACCGTAACCCTGCCACATCAAAGGCTGGCCTCAGCTTCCTCTCCTAGCCCGTGGACCCTGAGACCCTTCTGCCAAAACCTGTACCCAGAGGCCTCTGTGATGATGTCGGTAATGCAGCTGTGTCGATCAAGCCTCCTTTGTGTCCTGTGACTTCCTAGTTTAGCTCTAACCCACCCACCACCTAGTAAGTCAGGCATTAGCACCCCCATTTATAATGAAGGAATGGAGAGGGTACAGGGCTAGTAACGCACAGCCGAGATGTGAACACAGGTCCGTTAACTCCCTAAGATTTGTTCTACCTGAGGACCCAGGTGGTGGATTCTGGGCTGGGGGGTCTTTGGACCTCATCTTGCCCAAGGAGGTGGTGATGGGTTATCCCAGGAAGGGACCCCAGGGGTGGCTGGTGTGGGCCCTGGCTTCCTTGCCAGGGCTCTCCC